TTTCTACTTCCAATCCACAGCGATGTTTTGTTCCCCTTGATTTTCCTCTTTTGTGCTCTCCCCATTTTTCTTTAGAGGTGGCTTGGAATGTTTACTGAAGAGAGCAGCGGCCAGGGTTGCGGTGTTAATAAATAGGCTTTGAGAGTTTCCTTAAGTTGGACTGTCTTTCGTCCCTCAACTTTCAGTTTTGAACTAATTTGGTTCATAAACCTGAAAAATTACTAAAATAATCCATAAACTTTGTTTTTCCATTGCTTTTGTCGGTTAAATGCTGATGTAGATGGTTAACTCTTCAAAAATTTCGTGTTTTTAATTCAAAATTTAGGTAAAAATTACGTGGAAAGATATATTATCATTTAACCTTACATGGCAATTGGTCAAATGTTACCTAAACAATTTTTAAGATAAAAAAATAGTGCATCTTAATCTTGATTTTCAAAAAAAATTAGAATTTCAACATAAACAATTGAAATCTAATTTAAAATTTAAAAATCTCCCTTATTAGATGTTACTATTTAAATTTAGAAATTAGCTATATATTTTAATATGGACAATCTTTTTGTATAATTTTTTTATGCAACTTTCACATATTATTAAATAAATAAATACACTCAATATCACAGATTCTAAATCAATGAAAAAATTAATTATTTAAATAATATATAATATCATATTAAAAAATAATACAAAAAATTATCCATAAATTATTTTTTAATATAATTAGTTTCTAAATATAAATATTAATATTTAATAAAATAAAATTTTAAATTAAAATTAAAATTTTTTGTTACATGTTAAAACTTTGATTTTTTAAAGTCATTATTGATATATGCATTGTTAAAAAAAAAAAAAAAAAGGTCTAAACAATTTTTCATTTATTTTGCTCCCACGTCAAAGTTTGGCCCCAAATAACCTCTTTTTTTTCTTTTTTCTTTTTTTCTTTTTTGGTATGTGGGGCAAACTTAATTATTAACAAGCGGCCCGCCACGCAGAGCATATGAAAATCTAGAGTGTTAAATATTAAATAAAAATGATTTTGTAAAACTTTTTAAAATGATTTAGCGTTCTATATAATTTTTTTATTGATTATTTTTTACTACTTAATTTTTAATTATAACAATTTTTTATCTTGAATTGTACAATTCCTTAATTTATCTTATTTGCATATTACACAACTCAAATTTATAATATTTTATTTTTATTGAAGAATATTACCACTAAACTACTTAAGATATTAGTATCAATTACAACTTATTAAATAATGTTAATATGTCAACAATGTACAATTTTTTTATGCGCGTCAGAAGCTCAATTTTCATTTCTAGTTCTTTTTGACCATCACATGATTGTTTCCTTCATCCAAACTATGAGGTCTTACCCAAAATTACAATGCTAAACTAATAAGAGGAGTTTGTGGGGAAACATCCTGGTTGGTTTGAGGCGTAAGACTTAAAAACCTAACATCAAATGAACTAACCTCCATCATTACCTCATATTTGTCTTAAAACAAATCCCCATTAGCTTATAAATATTATTAAATATAAAAATTGAAAATTATATTAGCAAAATAACATCACCTTGAACCTCAATATTATCACATCATCAGATCATCAGAACCTTTTGAGTTGAATCTAAACTTGAAAGATTCTCTCATAAATAAGTGAGATTCAATATACAATGACAATAAGTTATTCTTTTCAAGTGGAGCCTCTAAGAGTAGTTCCACAACAGAAGCAGACCCAGAATCTAACAAACCAATCCGCCAGTTTGAGTCTTTGAAGGAAATACAAATTCAACATGATAGCAAAGCAACTGCAACCTTAGAAGCTGAGACTGAGTTCACAAGAGATGCTCAGGCTTTACGGGAAAGAGTTCTTAAGCGTGCTGAGGATGCTTTGAAGGGGAAAATCAATGGCTCTGGAGATGAGAATTTTATATAAGGGCATCCATGGGTATGTTGATCATAAAGCTGGGTTTTGAAGGGGTCAAACAGTTGCTGGTGAGAAAGCTGGTTGGGCAGATGGGTCTCATAGGGCATCTGCGCACATTAGGGTATCATCAGCAAGGTTTGATTATCAGCCATTCAATGTCTCAGAGATAAAGCATAATGTGGTAACTTGTAACATGTTGCTCTATGCCTTGTGCAAGTCAGGTAAATGGGGACAGGCCACACAGTTCCTTGAGAAAAAGATTGAAGAAGGGATCCATCCGGATTTGGTGACTAACTTTCAATTTTCTAATTGATGCTCTTTGTAAAGAAGCAAGAACTGAAGAAGCCATAAATAATTTGAACGAAATGATGGAATACAGTGAAGGTATCCTGCCAAAAATAAGTATACATTGGCGAAAGGCCATAACATATAATGAACATATTAAAGTCAAGTGGTCTACAAGAGAGAACAGATATCACAAAAGGCTCTGATGGAGGGACAGCAGAAACAGCTGCATTACAATCAGGACAAAACATCCGAGTTCATCATAAAGCTCCTCCAATTCCTAGTTCCCCTTGTCATCTTAGGCTCAGTGCTTCTCTCATGTTTACCATCGAACACTGTATCTGTGAACTTTCTTTTCTCCTTGTTGCCTGTTTGTGACTGGTTGTGTAATGAACGTTGTGATCTCTTCCTCTCCCTACACAATGTGCTTGGCGTGAATCTTTAGTACCCTCATAGGATTTAACCATTGGAGGCGGATATGGTTATGGCCACAGCGCCAGTTTTTATTACCACATGGCCAACTGTTATGGCCACATAGTTTATCCTTTTTTTATTGGAATAATATTTTTTTTGTTAAATAACTAATTATAATATTTAAAAATATTTATTTTAAAATTGATTTCAATCGATTAAATAATAAATAATAATTATTTTATAAATTATTAATTGTTTTTAATGGTTAAACTAACCAAAATAAATAAATAAACAAATTATGTGATTATAACAAATGGAGAGTGTGGCCGTTAACTACTCTCATTGGAGGGTTTATACCTAGGAAGCTCCGACACCCATCACGTTGTCACTAACAGAGGAAAAAGGTTAATTTCATACATATCCAATAACAATAGTTGTTTCTATCCCTCGTATATTCAGGAGAGTAAAACATTCTCTTAAAGTTAGACACCTGTTTCCCTTAAAAACATGCAGTTATGGATCAAAAACATACAGGATTTTGATCCATGAATGCTTGAAATTACCAAAAAAAAAAAGCAGGGGTCGGTCATCTTTAGACATGCTTTCATAATCCAACCTGTTTCCCTTAAAAACCTGCAGAAAATTTAAGAAAGAAACATGGAATTTCAAATAAATTCTAAGCCACATAGACACCCAAATAAAACTCAAAGAAAACAACGAAGTGCAGAATTCATACTTCTAAGACGAGAAACAAAATATTGAAAACAAACTGCAGAAAGACACAAACTGTGAATTGCAGACATCTTACTACTAAGAAACACCAGGATCCCATCCCAAAAATTTTCAACTGCCAACTGCAACACCTTAAAATAGGCAAGACTTCAGGTGCACGTCATGTTCTTGCGGGGCACCAAGCTTCCAAAATTGGGCCACTTGTTTCCAATTGTGTCCACTTCAACAAGGCAGTTGTTATCAAAGTTGATGAGTGCGCAGAGATCTCCTTTATAAAGGTAAGCCTCACCTTTCTTGTGGGAAGCAAAGGCTGCTTCTATTCTACCTTCAAATTTGGTATCTTTCAAGCAAGAAAATTTCTCAGTTATGGTACCACTAGTGATGGAGGTTCTCTCCTCGTAATTTATATAATTATACTGGTTGCCTTTGAAGAGGTAAGCTTTGTCATCTTCAGCTTCAAAAGCAGCGTCCACACCACTTTCGAAAATTG